TCAGCTGCTACCTTAAAACCCCCACAAAAAGGGGGGTTCAGGTGGATACTGATAGAATGATCATAAGAGTTTTCTTTTCTTTACAGAAAATATCACATGTGCACCCTCTTATCTGAATCCCTCTGTGTTTGATTAGAAATAGGAGAGACAAACCGAGTTTGTATGCAACTGTTACTTCACATTACTACCCCTCATGCTTAATACACAAAATAACATACAAGCAAATTCACAAGCAAGTCTTAATGCATCCAAGCATAAAGTACAACCATAACATCTTCACCTGCAGATCTTTCTGCTTCCCCACTGCCAATCACTACAGGAGAAGCAGTGGCCCAAACTCCTCAAAGTAATCGAGGCTACAGGAAATGTATAAAGATATTTTTGGCACTTAATTGTTTTCTATACAATTGGAGATGTTAAGTCTTTTCCTGGTAGCTTGTGTCCACCACAGTGTTAGATCAGCCACATAAAAATGGTACTCAGGCCTTTTATTTTTCCTTGGAAAGAAAGGCAACATGGCTAGTTCCTTCCTGTTTGGTTTTGGCTTCATAGGCAAAAATCTTGAACAATGATTATTCCAATGCCAATCCTCCTCCACTCGAGTCACAAGCCTGCGTGAATAAAGGGTCTATCTTAGTTTTCATTCTTCCAGGAAAGCAGTCTTTTGTAGGCAAGATAAAACATCCAGTCATCTGTTTTGCATGTGGATATCCACTGGTATAAAAGTTACTGTTGTGGGCTGCTTTATGCTGTTGCTATTTGGTCCTAAAGGAGGTGGGGTTGTGGCTTTGGAGCTCTTGGGTTCCAGCTCCCGTTTTACTCTCATGCGCCTGCAAAGAGAAATACAGTTAAAATCTCATAGTCATTTGTTGCTTAAAGGGATGTAGCCTCTCCTAATCTCAGTGTAAGGAAGGACTGCCAAAGCACATAACATCCACTGAAGAGGGCGCAGCCAGATTTCATCTCAACATCACTAATGACCAAACAACATGAACCTGATAGTCGCATTGTCTGATGGATCGATAGATCCTTATCTCTCCCAGTTTTTCCCACGGAAGTTTTGACACAGCGTAGTTTGGATTGCCCTTGGGATTTCAGCCATTAAGTACTGACATGGCATGATAGCAGCTGACATGATGACAGTCTTTGATTTATCCTGTTTAAATATAGCAAAGTAAAGGACATGAGGAACAAAGTCCTGTACCTGTTATACGTTTTCAACAGGAGCAGAACCACTGTAAAAATAATAATCACTCCAACTACGATGGCAGCTACTATTGCTCCAGAACCTAAGGTGGGGGGGGGAGAAAGAGAGAGTCTTGTTTAAATTAGTCTTGCAAAATTCTTTTCACACAGAGCACAACAATTATTGAATTTAAACTTCTTATTTAAAAAAAAAAACCCCACAAAAATTAAAACTTGCTGCTATGATATGTTTTCACCAGAAAAGCAGTTTGAAATCCTGGGGCGGGGAGGGGGCGGGTTACCAGCAAATACCGAAGCACTTAGCCAGTGTATAAGAACTCCTCATCCTGAATTATATATGGTAAGTAAAAACAAACACCAAAAAACACAGAGAGGGATTCTCACATCACTTGGCTTTCATTTGTGGCTTTCTACTTTGCTGTGAGACAAAAACATAAAAAAGGCCAGCCTTTTTTATGTTTCTATTTTTCTTTCCACTCTGTCTAATTTGTATGTCTGTGGGGCAGAGACCATCTCACAATGACTATATAGGTGCCTAGCTCAAGGTGGCTTGTACTCTAGGTTGGAGCCTCTAGGCATTAACTTCACACAAATAATAGACAGCTCCTCATCATGCCTGTGGCTAGACACATACGTCACTTTTGCAGGATCAGGCTCTATGGATCAGATGTTCTTAATTAAGTGATCTTCATCCTAAGTGTAGGGGAAAGCTCTGTGCCTGGGCTAGTCATTTTTTATTCCACTTCTACAAAATTAAGCTTTTAAAATTCTATTCTATTAAATTAAGGACTTGTCTAAATAAGAGAGTCAGGAAAGTCTGCCGGAATTAACTTGTAAGCAGATTAGTTACAACCGAGTTAAACACCTGTATGGACACTTACTCGAAATTAGAGTGGTTTGAATGCAAGGTAGCTTTATTCACTTTCAAAGTTATATAAAATGCTCATCTTTAGTTAATTCAGATGAACTTTCCTAAATGTCTCAGTGTATTTTAACCTAAAAGTTATCAGTAAACATTTCCCCCACTAATTTTAAACTACCAACATCTGTTTAATGGCCAAAAGCATCAAAATAAAACTGGACTAGGTGGACTATATTCCTGCTGGAATACAAGAAGGATGCTGAGAAGCGTGTGCTCACCAGAAGCCATGATCTTACTCTATCGAATACTGAGTCTCTCAAGATGAATTTTCAAGATGTTAACAAGGGAGCTTGCTTAATTCCATTGTTTAACAGTATTTACACATTGGAATGTTTTCAGGAGCCTTTTCAAAATCCAACATGGATGCATGGCATTTTAAATAGTTTAATAAAAATAATCAATCACAATAAGTTTTCTTACTCTGATAAAGAACTTGGTCTCGAGACTTTGTGGTCACATTTCCTGGAAACTGGGGATCAACACTGACTGCTGGTGCAGCTGTCGTCATCTTGATTCTGGCTAGACACACAGAAAGAAGACTGATTTTACAAAACACTGAACTAGCAATTGTTACCCCCCATTTGTAATAACTGGACAATTGCCAACCAGCTATTTTGATCCTAAAGAGCTGTTTGCAATTGCGTTACAACATGAGTGCTTCCATTGAAACAAATGGGTGAAATCCAGGCACCGAGGAAGTTTTGCCAAGGACTTTCATTGAGGCAGGATTTCACCCACAATAAGTAGAGGTATCAATCTAGTCCTAAGCGATTGATCTGCTTATAAACGTACAGCATGTAGCACCAGAGATGCAAGGGATGAAGTAAGCAATTCCAGGCACTTGAAAAATGTGTTATTGCCATTTCACAGTACGAGCTTCAGAAGAGAAGTTACAGCACTAATAGGAAGCAAGCGGCAGTAGTCAAGCAAACTGTTGCCATGTGGCACAGTAAAAGCATCAGACAGACTATAGCTCTGGCATGGGACATAACATTTTGCCTTTGAAAGTGAAAATATAGTAAATCCCATATGAGAACCAACAATATCCTACTTGTCCAGCGCACGGCCGATGGTAATGACGATACTCCAAGGTCTGGGGCTTTGCTTTAGAAGTCAAATAACAGAAGCTTTTTAAGGACAAGTGTATTACACACACCTGCACAGTATTGAAAGATACCCTCCAGGATGACAGATTTTTTTTCAATTTCGAAGCCAGTAAATAAGACAGATTTGAAAATGAATCAAGGGCACAGCACCTCAAGCATAATGGCTAAGTACAGTCAAAAAGCCTGAGGCTAAATCGATTCAGTCTTTACAGGCTAGTCTAAGATGCAGAGATGAAACTGAGAAACAACTGGACACACATTTACTTTTGATTCAGGAAATGCAGCCGCATGCCTGCGGTTACCAAAGCTAGTTTCTTCTTCCATTACAGCTTGGGCCTGCTATTACTGGAAGTTAAGTCACCTTACATTGAAAATCTTGCCAAGTACTTAAAATAAAGAGCCAGACGCTGGGCTCCCAAACTAGCACTGTGATTTTCAGAAGTAATAGGACACCCAGATCCAACAGGAACTGCTGGGTACTTGGCCCTTTAGAAAAAAAATAATCAGACTACTTCTGTGGAAACTTCAACACAGAATGAACCCCAGCCCTAGGGTAATGGCCAAACTCCCACTGATTTCACTGGGGCAAGGATGTCAACCTAATTTTGAAAACTTTGCCCCTCAGATGGTGGAACAGGAGGATCTGACCCCTGTCTCTGCCACTGTGAAGTGCTATGTGGTCTGCCTGCACCATAGCAACAGTGCCTCATCCTAAATTTATGACAGTAATAACTCGTTCTGTTAATTGATATCAACTAATGGGAAGGGGAATTCAGACTGTTACTGGCAGGAAGGGAAACAGACCCTTTTCCCAGTGTCTGTCCCAGGGTATCGCAAGGTTGATTCGGTTAAATGGCTCAACTCTTTAGTTTAGAAAAAAATTGAAAATAACTCTCTCCCGGAATCTGTAACTGGGTCATTCTCCTCCGACTGAATGATTCCTTTGTATAACCGAGGCCAAGTTACTTTTGTAACATGATGATCTACTCTGGTCATAGATCTTTTCCCCCTGAAAAGATTTTTTGGATCATAAGCTCCTCCAGCCCTAGACCATGGCATTTAGCAAAGAGCTCACGGTGCTCATAAAACCTATAACTTGGTGTCGAAGATACTGCAGCTTCTCCACAAAGCTGCATTGTCATCATCCCCCACCACCCGCTGCAGTTGAAAGACCACCGTGGAGCATGGTGTGTGCACCCAGTGAATGAACAGAGTCAAAAAGACATCTCAATACTTCTGGATGGCAGCGATAAGATAGAGCATGGGGCGATGCTGACCAGGTCCTCGAGTGACACAGCAACTGCTCAGCTCTGTGCGACTCACTACAGCACTCCCCGGTGTTGCCAGAAAGTTTTAAGGATGGAGGGGCCCTGTCCCCTCCTTCACCCACCATATCCACCCCAATGAGGCTTTACAGGCTGGGGAAGGCTGAGCAAATATTTCCTTTAGGGGCCTGAATCAGGGAAAAATATGCTGAGCTTTCAACCTGCACCTGACTGTTCACTGAGTGCAGAAGCACGTGCTTCAGATCCTAGCTCTTCCTAAGGACTAATTAATAGGATATTAAACCTTTCAGTTCCTTGCCCTTGGTTCAAACTAAGTTACCACCTGGATCAGTAGCATAACAAAGAAAGGTTGAGAGCAGTGTGGTTTTGATTTAAATCAAATCGAGCTAAAGCATGATTCAAATCACTGGTCAGGAAGCCTTGATTTAAATCATTGTTTTCTACAAGAAGTGCATTCTTGTTGAATAAAGGACATCAAACACTTAACTTTTTGAAACCTCGCACTTTCGGAGAAAGGCAAAGGCTTGACAAACTTGCATTCACCCAATAGGGCTGATGGATGGGTAATCATCAGGTCTGTCATCTCTCATCTCCATATACTGCTCTTAACAAGGATGTCATCTCTGGAGACAACAGACTCTCCCTACGCCTGAAGAAGGATGTTTGTGCCCGAAAGCTTGCAAAGAACAATTTTCCCAACTATTTATTTGGTCTAATAAAAGATCTCACGTCTACCCAAAGAACCCTGTCTGTCTACGATCTCTAGAGACACAAATCCACAGTTTGAGAACTGAGACTAAGCATAATGGAGATGCTTAATGGGATCTTCTAGAGTGAGCACTCAATCCCACTGGGTAGAGTGGTTTTCTTTAATCTTTACTTTAATCTAATCTATAGAGGAGCCTCTGGGAACCCCATAAAATTAGGCCTCTAGTCCATAGCCACTTGTGACCTACTTATAACACTTCTAAAAAGGTTACATGAATATATTGTCTCAAATAGTATATAATTAGACATTATAATCCCTATTCCATGATGATATCTTTGAGTTTTAATATATCTTAAATTAGAACTATCTTTATATATACTTTTTTTAAAAGCATCTTAACAATAAAACCAAAACATTCAATTAAATAAAAACAACTTTAAATTAAAAAAAAAAATCCATTCTTAAAATTAAAAAACATCATTGATTTTTATCCACCCTGGTTAGGGAGAGGGGAAGAAGGGTGATCATCATGGCAGGAGCCACGGATGCCAACATAGGTGGGGGGAGTTACATAAAAATAGCAGATTTGGCTCCTGCTTTCCTGGTTGCCACACTGCCACCAGCAGCCTGGTTGCGGTTGTTGCCCCGTAGCGATTCAGGGTGCAGAACTGCCCAGCTGCGTCTCTGGTCTGGCTATGCTAATAGCAGCTGGTGCACTGACATTTCTGCCCTAGAAGCCTGTAATCTCACCTGAAGTCATAGATACATAGGTTAGAGGAAGGATGAGTTTGGTCTGCAGACTAGGACTGGCTTTGAAACAGCCAGCTTGGGAAAGTTGAATGTGTTGCAAGTTCCTTTTTATAACGCTATCATAAACCTCATGGACACGAAGTTGGGGCGGCTTTTGAGAACTGAGACTGGGAGCGAGGAGCAATGAGGAGTATTGGTCTCAGCCTCGCCCCTGTGCCTTGGGTAAGCCTCTCTGCTTGGTTTCTCACTTGTGAAACTGGGAGAGCTGCATGTTGCAAGGATAAATCGTAATGGAGTCAGTGAAAAATATCCTGTCAGCTCCAGCGGGCTTGGGATCGCATTCTCCTTTGCTTGAAAAAAGTGTTTTAAAAGTAACACCACTGAGTAGATGCTACATAACAAGGGTTGTATGGTTTGCAGCCTTCAAATCCACTTGAAACACTCCCTCCAGGTTACACGCAGCACTGTACTTTACTCTGTGTACACACACCTGCTCTCGACCCTGAAAGCTGCTAATTTATGTGTAATTTGAGACATAAGGGGACCTGAGCCTGGGGAAATATTTCGAGGTGGATGCAAACATAGCCAAAAGAGTTATGCCTTGGGCACATTTCCATTTAAAACACCTTTGCAGATACAGTATGTTGGTTATTTTGGCAACACCACCATGTAGAAAGCCTTCCCTGCACCCCTCAATCCCGGGGACTTCAATCTGAAGGGACATGGCTCAGTTGCCAGAGAGACCAGGGTTGAAATTAAGTAGACAAACAGCTCCTGCTACTGCCTGAAACACCTGGCAATTATAGAGGAGGGTGGTGGCAGTGGTAGAGAAGAGATAGGGATGGATCGTGTTTTTCCATCAGAGCTCAAATTCAAGCGTTTACTTTCTGCCATGGGAGGCAGGTGCTGCTCGTGGAGAAATGTAGACTTCAGTGTTGAGTAGCCTAGAAAAAGGGGTCTTTTATGTCATGAATTAATAATGGGAAAATTCAAGAGAGACTATTGGCATCAATTCCCAGTTTAAATGCTGGGTTATAACGGTAGTCAGTTTTAGCTGAATATCAAGCCAGCCATTGTGTCACCTGCAATAATATTGATACTTCTATCGCAGCTGCCCTCTGTCTCCAAGCACAATGAAGTAATTGTTCCGGCTCCATGGAGACATGGTTAAGAATAATATCATTCCTGTTTTCCAAGTGGGGAAATACATGTTGAAAGAATAAGTGATTTGCCTTCCCCTATTTACACTACTGGTCAGTAGCAAGGTAGGGCTTTTGGCTCTTGCTTCTATTTCTCTTGACTATCACTCTGCTCTCATCAACCCCAGCTGGCAAAACCCATCACCTAACCTCTGGACCACATTCTCCAGTAATGCACAGGACAAACTACGAGCCCTGAAAACACTGGATAAAACTAAACAGCCTATGTAATTAATTCATTTCTTCATTAAGAAAACTGAATCAATGGCCATGTTAGCTGTTAGCAAGGGAAATACTCTGTGACTTTCAAACTTAAGGGCCTAATTTACTTTTCAAAAATGGAATTTGGGGTCCTACGTCACTTGGATCACTTCACCAGAGGGTATCAGCAATCTCAAAGCAGCGATCAGCAGGCAGCCTGCGAAGGCGGTGTTATAACACGCACCGGCTGCGCGATTCCAGGGATATA